ACACACACACACATACAAACATACACACACATAGTCCGCTGAATACACACACACACTGCTGAATGCATACAATGCTGAGTACACACACACAGTCTGCTGAATACACACGCAGTCAGCTGAATACACACGCAGTCAGCTGAATACACACACACACTGCTGAATACATAAAGACTGCTGAATACATACGCACATATACTGCATTGAGGGGTGCAGTGTATGTGTGTAAGGGTGTGGAGTGCTGTGTGTATGGGGTGTGTGTGTGAGGTGCTGTGTTGTGTGTGAGGGGTGCTGTGTGTGTGAGGGGTGCTGTGTGTGTGTGAGGGGTTCTGTGTGTGAAGGGGGTAGCGGTGCTGTGTGTGGGTGGTAGCGGTGCTGTGTGTGGGTGGTAGCGGTGCTGTGTGGGGGGGTAGGGATGCTGTGTGTGGGGGGTGGGATGCTGTGTGTGTGTGGGGGGTAGTGCTGTGTGGGGGTAGGGGTGCTGTGTGTGTGGGGGTAGAGTTGCTGTGTGTGGGGGGTAGGGGTGCTGTGTGTGGGGGGTAGGGATGCTGTGTGTGGGGGGTAGGGGTGCTGTGTGGGGAGTGTTCAAGACACATTACATTTTTTTTATTTTTTTTAAACACATTAAATCAGTACCCCCCCCCCCTTCTTCTTACCTTTGGTTACCTTTGGTGAAGGGGAGGGGGGAAACACAGCCATCCCTGGTGGTCCTGTGGTGGTAAGTATGTAGGACAGGAGTACAGGTCCTGCAGCTCTCCTGTTCTCCCGCGCGATGCTGTGTAGAGTGCTGCCATGGTAACGTGCGGCAACACTCCACACAGCTCGCTGGAGGACAGGAGAGCTGCTTCCTAGATGCCTCCCCCTGCTTCCGGTCCTGCTGACACGGAAGCAGAGTAGGCGCCTGCCGTTTTGTGCAGGCAGGTGCCTACTCTGCATTGATGGTTAACCTATGGCCGCTTGCCCACAGAGAGGGCCCGGTGTGCCACCTGTGGCACGCGTGCCATAGGTTCTCCACCACTGCCCTATGTAATCAGTGCTTAAATATAAGAAGGAGGATGTATTTATTTTCTGTATAATTGTAATGAAGCTCAAGGTGGGGTTTATTATATAAACTGGAAATTGCACTTGAAAAAAATTTGAAACTTGGCTATTTTCTGATTTAACTATTTTGGGCAACAAAATGCCGAAATTAATCTGAATTTGCATTTGGACCGAAACGAATTGCACATGTCTAGCAGGGACTCTACACAGTTTACAATAAAAGTGCTCACGGACAAGTGTACCTAATCCAAAGGGCTGATAGGAGATCAAACGTGATATTTGTGGTGGGGTAGCTGATCTTTTCAGCCTATGATTTCTCGTGCCATTGACATGTAATCTTTGCACAGTAAGCCACTGTTTAATGATCAGCCACTGTTTAATGATCAGCTCATAAAATTGTGTTCAATTTGAAGCCTGAACAAATGGGATCAAAATCTGCTGGATCTTTACTACTTGGTTTTTTAACTCTTTGATTGGATAAACTCTAAATCTCTACCTTCCATCATTGCCACAATGGCACCAAACCAGCTCCAAAAATATATATGCCTTTGTTTTATTTAGCATGCTAGTTATCCAGGTAAAGTTATTTAATTTAAAATATATGAATTTAATAAGCTGTCCAGCGTTTCTGACCCTGAGTGAAGGCTTTCCTGCTCATATTTTTGTACTGACTCATCCACCAGTTCTCTCCCCACCCCCTCTTCTAAGGTCTTCCTCTTCCAATCTCAACGTGTGATCCAAGAATAAAGATATTTTTGTTATATTATTATTCATTAAAATAACTTACATATTATGAGAAAACTCCCCAGGCTACATATAACAAAATAGTTAACAATAGTATAACAAATAGTTAAATAGTATAACTGCAGTGATAATAGTTAGCTCTACAGAAACAAACCAATGCAGTAAATTCTTGGGTGTCCTGTCCTCAAGTTTACAATTTAAACAATTCCCTCCAGGGGTGTGCAGCCACATACTTATAATGACTGACACTGAATATAAAACGAGTTTGATACAAAGTCACCTTTTGGTGACCTTAGATAAGTGATGTTTTGTGACCTTATATAAGTGATCCCCAGTGCTTTACATACCAGATTCAGAATGTTTGTTCCCCAGAACATGAGGAGTGTAAACAATTCAGCAGACTATAAGTGTAATATACCAATAACATGTATTACATGGCCCCACCTTGTAGTATTCAATCAGCCGTCTGATTTAAAACAATACGTGGTACTTAACTAATCCACTTTAACCCCTTAAGGACCAAACTTCTGGAATAAAAGGGAATCATGACATGCCACACGTCATGTGTCCTTAAGGGGTTAAATGTATTGTAAATATACTGTTATAGTGTTCATTGTATGCCAAGTTCCTTTCTTTGTTCGTTCAGTTTATATTGACTATGCCATTATTTATTAACTGTGAGTAAGAAATGTCATTATAGCAGTGTGTAGGAATTGGGCTAATCTCCTCTTCTCTCCTTGCGTAAGACCACCCATTAGCTCCCCTTGTCTGATGGTCTTTGTAGGTGAATCATGGGAAATTTTGGCCTTTCAGTGTCTTCTCCTCCCTGTAAATTGCCAGGAATCCCAGCTATGCTGCGTATATTTATATTCCTTTCTACCCCCACTTCTCTTGTTTCCGTTGCCTAAAAAGGTGAAAGCAATCGGAAACAGCCCCCCCCACCACCTCCCACCCCCCACCACACACACCCCTCTCCAATCCTCACTACCCTCTTCACCCAGCAGAGGTGATTCTGACCCCACGTTTAAAATGCTCCATTACCATCTCATAGACATGCTTGCAAATAAACAATAAACCCAGTCATGACCCTACACCCAGGTTAATGAGCGCTCTATATAGGCCCCCTACAATCATTTTAATATATATATAGACTTCACTGATGTGTGCTTTTAGAACGTAACGAATGCGCTGCTTGTGTTATAGAGAGTAAAAATTGTCTTCGGTGCCTGTCTGCCTGAGAATAACTGTGTCTCAACCAAGCTCTATCATAATGTAATAAAATCATTTCGCACGATGACAATAAAAAAACAAAAAAACTATGCATTATAGTCTTTTCATTGAATATATGTATATATATTTACTCTTTACAATACTTATACTGGATCAAGTATCACGCATTGTACATGCAAAAATTACTACGTGAGAAACCAAATTCCGGTCTCCTAACGCCTTTTATACAAATAGTGTTTGATCTCTGTGTTACATTGTAGCTGATATTAATTCATGTTGCCTTATCTCGGTGTTACATTGTAGTTGATATTAAGTCATGTGTCCTGATCTCTGTGTTACATTGTAGTTGATATTATGTCGCGTGGTCCAGGCTGTACGCTCTGCAGTTCTTTAGCATGAGATTCCCATACATTCTAAAGGATGCACTTTGTTATTAAACTACCGAGATGGTTTTTTATTTTTTTTAAACATATGCTTTTCAATGTGATTTCTAATATATAGTTGCATTTTTCAGGAAAACCCATGCACAGCCCCTACATTTTTTTCTGTGTAATGCCCCTATGTCATTATTTGCAATAAAGGGTTAAAGGGTTCAATTAAATCCAGCGGGCAGGACCAGTTTAAACTGACCACCGGAAATTTAAGTTGAGCAGACAGCCTGGTGACAAGGCCTTTGTCCCCTTGCATGGGTGTGACACACAAAGATGCTTTTTTTATATTTCTATATGGGGGGCAAGGGTCTGAATACTTAACACCTTTTTAACAGAAGCTTCACACAGAGGGGTCTACATAAAGGACAGATAAGCCCTCTGGCGCCTAATGAGTTGTGTCCTCTCTAGCCCACTTGGCTAGTCCTCTTTTTAGCATGCATAGCACCCACGCCCCTCATCTAACACATCATGCCTGTAGAAATCTTTAGGTGTGCTAATGTGTGGCGTCAGATCTAGTTTGCACTAGAATGGTAATATTTTTACACCATCACAACCACTACCAGTGTTCCATTTTGACACAGGGATTTGTCTAATTTAAAGAATCTACTGATAGATACGATGATCTAGTAGTTCATTATGATATTAAAAGAGTAAACAGTATAACTTCAATGTAATATTTGTTGAGTATCTGTCAGATGGTCCATCAATGTTAGCACCTCCTCTCAGTAGTCTAAATACTACATATGTCATGTTACATTTTTTTCATGTACCTCCTCCTCGTTATTTTCAAAGGGGGAAGGGTCCCTTTACGAAGAGATGGATTGGAATTAGGAAATCTACAGGTCAGCCGTACCATACAGCCTAGCCATCTTTCAGTCACATTTTGAAGAGGGGGGATGGTGAGGCCAGTCAACTAGAGGAGGTCTTAATAATGTTTCCTATGGTGGTGGTATTTCATTGATGCCTTTACAGGTGGTCTCAATCTCTGATTGGACACTTGGATTACCTCCATCCCAGTTGGGGAGGGGGTTCTAATTATTCACAGAGAGCTGCGATTGAGGGTCTTCCTGACCAGGAGAGCATGAGAGTGTGTGACAATATGACAACATCTATTCATAATGAGGAGCAGCTCGAGAGTGCTGTGTGACTACCAGTAAAAGATCTACAGCTCAACCGCCACCCTTGGAGCGCACTATGGCAGAAGGTGATCCTAATCACTTGGGGGCTGGGGGGTGGGTAGTGTGAATTAAATAGCAAAGGTGATTTTACCGGGCAAATTTTTGAATGAGTTTGATGGGGAGGAGTGAATGAGAGAGGCATGTTGGTCTGCCATTGTCTTGTAGAATATAGAACCTTTTGAAAAGGCATGCCCTCCCACCTCCATTGTTTAGTGAAGATGTAGCAAACCTTATTTGCCCCTTCAACTCGTTTAATCACATTTTTGGTTTAGTCTTGAGGGAGTTTTGAGTAGCTTTAAGAGCTCACAGATCAGGAGAAACCAGAAGTACACTTTGGATACATCTTCAAGGGAGTCCCGTAGGATACTTATTAATCACGATGGGATCTATCTCCAACGAAGAGATTACAGGTGAAAAACTATTAATGAGAGAAAAACCTTTTTTCAGATTATGTAGGTTAGAGTTATATAGCATCAATATCACAGATTTGCGTCTTTATTTAAAATTAAATAGTTTTTCACTTCAAATATCCTGATGGTGGACAAGCTAATTGTAGCTTGGATTGTTCGGGCCCATTGCTTTTTATTTGTTATTGGATACAGCCACGGATATATAAAGTTATGTTTGTAGATGGTTTTTGTCTATGCTTGATATATTTATACAAAATGGAGCATTGTTTATAGTTGTCATTAATGTGTTGTCTGAAGATTAACTGTTTTTGATTTGATTTGTTGATTTTAAGTGACATTGTATCGTATTACTAGTTTTTCGTGATAACACATTTTATGTTCCTTTTTAGTAACAGTGTATCTTGTTTGTAGTTGTTTTTAATTATACGTTGCACCGAGGTAAACTGTTGATTTAAAGAAACATCGTATCAATACATCGGAAATCCAGTTGATGACCTCATGTTCAATAGTTTTGTTTGTATCGTTTAAATCCATGCTAACTTCCAAGTTTAGACATTGCGAAGTTTTTTTTTGTATGACTAGATATCTATGTTACGTGTTTTCATTAATTGCAATATCCGCTGTTGTTCAGTTAGATATATTAATGTTTAATTTATATTTATAATTATAGCAATAATAGATGTATTGTGGTGCCACCAACTATTTTGTGTTAATGAATATCCATGCTGGGCAACTGCAAATACAGACATGGGATCTTCTAGTTAGCCTACAGGTGTGAAATATGACTTCGTGTCCTCAGATGAACTATCATTGTATACTGATAGACTGCCAGCTATTTATACAGAAGGGAATCAGTGGAGGTTACACTGGGGAATATAGTGCCTGGCATAGGATAGACTAGATAGATAGATAGATATTAGTCAAGGGTTAACCACTGTTAATTAACTGTTTTTAAACGAGAAATTAAAATGAATTTTAATAGCAGAAATAATAAGATGATTTGAAAACGTGGTGGGCTGATTAGGGACCATGGGTGGCAGAAATAGATGCATTATCTTGTTTAGGCTGCCCTACACTTGGGACTATATATGTGGCTTCTCGAAGCTTATAGCAAATATGTTTCAAAGGCTTACACTGATTATTGTATTAAATTGATTTTACGACTATACATACCAACTCACTGCAGTTTGATAGCTGCATAAATGAAATATATATATATTATTAAAAGCACAAAGCTGCTCATATATATATAGTTATATAACTTTTCTTTTTTTAGAGCATCTATCTAATCTATCTATCTACCTCACTCTCTCGCTATCATTTGACTGTCTATCTAATCTACCTAATCTGTCTGTCTGTGTCTATCTATCCATTTCAATTTTAACAATATTTTTGTGTGTAAGCACCAATATATGAAGACACTGTCTGAAGAATGTATTTTAATATGGTCAATGTATCAGTATGCTCAGTGCCCTGTCCAAGTTGGGCCACCCTTCTCTTTTTAAGTAAGGTGGCAGATAAGCACATTGTCTCATGTTCTGGTTCGTTGTATTTTTTCAGGGGGACCCAAACCCACAGGGGACTCACAGGATCTTTCCAAATTAGATGAAGCAACTCAGTCAACTGGATCTGGAGTCTGCAAGTGGTTTAATGTTAGGATGGGTTTTGGGTTTATCACTATGACTAAGAAAAACGAGGTGGATCTGGAAGTCCCTTTGGATGTCTTTGTGCACCAGGTAAGAGGAAAATAAGCCATTCTATCTGATAACATGTGCTCGTGTAATTTGGTGATTTGCAGAGCAATGTATTATTGAGATGTGTTATACGGTATAACCTAAACTGATGCCATGATACAATATTTCCTCTGTTGAATAGACGTGTTTTAATAGAATTGTTTTTGTCAGGCTACATTTTGTTCTATATTTCTGCAAGCATATTGTTATTTTTTCAATTGAGAGATAGATTCACTTAAGTTAGGCTTCCCCAAACTCCAGCCCTCCAGATGTTGCTGAACTACAACTCCCATGATTCTCAGACTTTATTTCATTCATAGAATCATGGGAGTTGTAGTTCAGAAACATCTGGAGGGCCGGAGTTTGAGGAAGCTTGACTTAAGACGTTGTGGAGCATTGTCCAAAACAGGTAAAAAATATGAAATTCTCAGCTAAAGTTTCAGATTACCTTGTCAATTTCCCACAGTTAAAAGAGAGAAATTGGTACCAGGCAAGCACTAAGTCAAAAAATATAAAGTATTCCCACAGCTTAAACCTTTCCTGGCTGTCCAATAAAGTGTAAATTCAATGTGAATTAAAAATTTTAGACTACAATAACCAAATTGGAAAAAATAAATCTTAGTCAGATGTGTTTTTTAGTTTTTAGATTTGAAATATAAAATTCACTTGAATTCTTTGCAGTTTGTACTATAGTGTCCTATAGACTGTAAACTGGTTTGAGCAAGGCACTCTTCAACCTATTGTTCCTGTAAGTTTTTGTAATTGTCTCATTTATTGCTAAATCTCCCACTTTGATAATATTAAAGAGCGCTACGGAATATGCTGGCGCTATATAAATACCAGTAATAATAATAACAATAATAGTGTAAATTCTTTTGAGATTATCCAGGGAGCTTGAAGCTTGGATCAAAATAGTTGAACTGGAAAGAGCCTGATTTGGAGAATTTTTGCAGTCTTTCTATTTTAGCCTAAAATATGCAATTCTCATGTAAAGTTGCAGGAGTGCACAGTTTATTGAATTATTGCAATTTTGCACTTAAACATAGAGATTGCATCACAAGCTTCTAAGCTGAAGTTGCTCATTCATTAAAGAATCAGCTGTGAGCAATCAACTTGCAATGTTTAGTCAAATTAGACAACTGTAGAAAATATCTTGTGTGGTTAGAGATCTCTGCTATTTTGTCTAAATGTTGCATTTTTTTTACCAACTCATTACAATATATTCATGAATGGACAATTCACTTGTCTTTATTCAATAGTGTTAATTCACTAAATGCTAAACATGTAGTGGGAAAAAAGAAAAATTGCAAAATATCGCCAATAATATTCCATTTGAATAGATTTCCAACACAGCTACAGTGACAAAATCATTATTTTGGCTTAAGTTTGTCATTAATGCTTTTTGCAGATATGATTAAAAGTTAATTGAACAAACCCCATTGTGTCACAAAATGGACCTAGTATAGATATGATCAAGAGAAATGATATTGCTCTAGCTCAGGGGTGCCCAAAAGGTAGATCCCCAGATCTATTAAAACTACAGCTTTTTAATGATGCTTTGTCATTCTAAATGCAATTACAGCATCATGGGAGTTGTAGTTCTACAACATCTAGGGATCTACCTTTTGGGCACCCCTGCACTAGACCATAGAGATTTCATGGTGAAAATGAAAATATATATTTTTTTTTACAAGAATCTCAAGTATGGTGTTCATATCTATACGCTATTAAAAAATAATTTGCACCCCAAAAATAATATACCTAAAAGTACAGTTTATCAGGTCAACAAAATTTTGGGGATTAAACGTGGATGAGTTACAGAGTCAAAAATGTCTATTGTTGGTTCTAAGTGGTTGCTTTTAGATGAAGCACATGGGTAATTTATTTTTATAAATTAGAGGTACAATATATTTATGTACAATATATATTTTTTTTTTATCTCTGAATTAATGCTTACATTAAGAGGAGGAGAAGGTTATTTTATTGAGCTCCTTTCCACCAGCATTAATGTGTTAATCATTGTACATCTAAGAAGACAAGGCTGAGTGATAAGGGTTCATTTGAAATGATTGCCCAGAATATAACTAAATCTTTACATTGTAACCTCTGTCTGACCTAGGAACTCACAGGGTGTTAAGGCCTATTTGTGGGATACTGGTGGCAGTATCTTATTTTATGACCCTGTCCAATTTCCTTATTGCAGTCACTAACATTCCAACATCAAAAGGTCACAGAGTCCCATCCTGGCAAGAGGCACTTTTGCCTCACCATGGGGGTCAGTCACATTTCCTATCCTAATGTCTATAGTGTCCACAGGACAAGGCATGAGATAAAACATCAGGGCTAATGGGAAGATAAGATATCATTTGCATTGTATAGACTAAAATCTTACTTAGATCCTGGCATGTAGTCCACTTATACTGCAAAGATAAAATTAAAAAGTATGTGTGACCTCTGGAATTTCTCAAGCATTGCATAATCTTACCTTATCTAGCATACCTCCCATTATATGGTGTATCAACTGCAACCACTATTGCAGCTGGGTGCTGTGCTCAGTGAATGAACCAAAACAAACTTGGAAATTGTATCATAACAGAGTTACACCATCACCTCAAACAGAGATATTGGTTTCCTAGTTGTCTAGAGGAATGCACACTGTCCCCTCAAGTCTTAGAGAGTGAGAGAAAGCACACAGTGTTCTCCACAAGTCACTGTCTACATATATTGAGAGATATCATACTCTATAACATGGCAGTGACTACTAACAAAATATCTTAAATTGCCTATTAAAAAAGGGCTTCTAAAATTCAATTTTAAATATAGATTGTCACACAGCTTTATAATTGCTGTTGCTAAACCACCTACAGAGACCAAAGAGTCAACCACATGACTTCCTGAATATTCTAGCAATTGCCCACCAACATCATCAGCCTCTCAACATGGGATTTTTTTTACTTCCCCCCTCTCCCTGTGGAATGCATGGAATGTGTAGCACGCCTTACTTCCTATTGTTTCTAAGCACAAGCCCCTTATCTCTTCCCAAAGCAGGGATACCAGGAATATCAGTTCCCTGTCATTACTGGGAATCCCTGCATCCTCCAACATAAAAGAAAGAGGAGAACTCCCTGTACCTACAAATTAATAAATGTAAACATTACAGGGAAGTACCTACATTGGAGGGACATTTAAAACTATTGTCCCAATTAAAGGCGTACAGATATATGAATACAGCTGAGTTAAATTGGATTGCGGATGGAGGTTATCCCATACAACAACAAACAGTGCACTTGTACTCGCCCAATGGCAGTAATATAATTTTAGTGTGTATTGTCATAAAAAAAAGTCCTTTAAACGTTAAGTCACTATTAGGCCACTATTCTGTAACCATAAAGCAGAATAATATTTTTTAAAAAGCTTGTATAAGCAGTACCTCCCCACGACCTTTTCCGTATTATTTTAATTTTAATCCAATATGAAAACATCCATAACGCAAATTGTTTTGACAGTAGAATAAGTAAGGATGATACGATTAGATTAGAAACACGAGAGGTAAATAGTTGCCCATTAACATTGTGCCACTGGCTTGTTTGGGCAGTGAGTTTATTGATTGAGTGATTCAATTTCATAGCTATTTTTGGAATTGTAGAGGATTTCAATATTAGAGCTCAGCTACTTGACTCTGCTGTGTGACTAATTTTGAAACTTTTGGGGCCAGTTCTTATTCTTTAATTTTGGTGTTAGTATAAAGTGAATCCTATCTTAAATGAAGCTTCTGATTTGCCTTAAATGGTTTTGACCAGCTTTACTTCTACTCATTTGACCCTCAGTAATTAGTCATCTTGGTTATAATAATGAAGGTTTTCTACTTCATCCTAACTGCAATAATTCACATATCATTAATCCTTTATGCTTTTACTTTTAATGTTATGTTTTACCTTTACCAGCCCCCTTCCTCTGTTTATATTTGTTGCTTATATCTGCCTCTTGTTTTGAAGAAGTGCTATTAAATATGTTGGAAAAGTGCAATTAAAACCCAATCACTTATGTTCCTTCTCTCATTCAGAGCAAGTTGCAAATGGAAGGGTTTCGCAGCTTGAAGGAAGGTGAACATGTAGAATTTACTTTCAAAAAATCGGCTAAGGGCTTGGAATCTTCACACGTCACAGGCCCTGGTGGTGTTCCCTGCATAGGAAGTGAGAGGAGACCCAAAGTAAAGGGGATACCAAAGAGGAGACCAAAAGGAGACAGGTAATTAAGGAATGCATTCAAAAGAGAGTTCTTGCTAATATTCAATATATTTCTATATGTGAGAGAAATGTTTATCCTCCATCACCAATAACCATCCTAAACAAACATGAACATGTTCAGGAAAAAAAAGAAAAGAAAACAAGAACGGTGTTCAAGTCTCTCTTGGAAAACTCAAAATATAATTATAACAATAAATATAAGCTCAGGTCGCTTACTGGTTATGACTTGCCACAATAAATTAGTATACCTAATCAATCTTTTAGTAAAGCAGATCACAGAGAAATGGTATGGAGCTAAAGAAGAAATGTATGTGCAGTTGGAGGTGGAAACCTGTTTTACACTAGATTTTTGATAACTGTTATGCGGGTAATCATGCATGGGGCTTTCTCCATTATGCTACAGGATCCCAGCAATTAGTTCCTAGGGCATTCTTTTGTCCTGGTAGAATTTGTCCAAGTTGCAGGACATGCATTAAATGTATAGAACAGTATTAGCCAATCTTTAGAACACAGTCATCTTAGCACTGAAATGCATGGAAGTGCACAAAGAATTCAATGTACTATTTAATTATCCACCCCCCAGCTATTGCAAGGATTTAAAACATAAACCAACCTAACCTGAATTAAAATTAGGGAAGATGAGCTGAGGAGTTGTAGCCAATATGCTGATATATTATATGACTATTCTGGAATATTAATGCTGAAGGGTGGGAGTATAATCAACAGGTATAATATTAATTCCTTGTAACATAACATGATACATAGATGTACAACTGCATTTTGTAACTATGTGCTTCCAGGTCGTACTTGAAAACCAGAGAAACTTAAATATATTATCTCTGGTAAAAAATATTTGAAACATCTATAAACATAAATAAATAAAAATGGTTATCTGACTGCTACCCTGTATATTATTACATTACCATATTCATACTCATGTTTATTAATACATTTGCCATATTGGTTTATCATAAATAGGTAGTCCCCACCCACTGACTGTGGGTGGGGGCAGGTTGGTCATTAGGATGTCACCCTCTTTTTTTTTTTTAAAGCCATTTTCCTGGCACTATAGGGTTAATAGCGCCCCCTCCTCCCACGGGGCTAAAGGGGTTAAAACCCAATCAGCCACTTACCTGAATCCATCCCTTGGCGGTGATACTGCATGCGTTCAAATGGCGTGCGCACATTAGACCTCCCCATAGGAAAGCATTATTCAATGCTTTCCTATGGGAAAAATTTGACTCTGGAGGTCCGTGAGGACGTCCAAAGTCAGATAACGGACCGAAAGTCCGTTTGGATTCTGGGGGCAGAAGTAGAGCTGCAATGTAAACATGGCAGTTTCTCTGGAACAGCAATTTTTTACATTGCAGCACTTAGTGTAAACGCGTTACAGTACCCAGACCACTTAAGTCAGCTGAAGTGGTCTGGGTGCCTACAGTGTCCCTTTATTGATGCTCACGTGTGACAGGAACAGGAAGGATCTTGTTTCTGCTTACTTAGGCAGCCATTTCCATAGCCATTGCTGTTCTTTAGTTGTTTTAAATATGCCCCTACCCATAAGATGGCAGGTGGCAGAATATTGACTCCATTGGCTTTTTTATTTTGCATTCATTTAATGTAGCATGTGACTTGCAAACACAGGCCAGTAACCACATGGTTAACCCACACAGCCCTGAGGGTTTTTAAATTTTTTTATTGCTTTATTGCTGGCAAAAAAATACCTAAAATTCACTTGTAAAAAAAAAGTGAAATATAATTTGCAAATATGCATCCCACTAGATACATTCTGTCCCAATTTTTACAAAATTCAGTGCTTTTAATATTCAGAATCATATACTTTGTATAGGGATCAGATGTGAAAAGCACTGACTTTAAACCAGACTCACATGCATCCATCCAATTGGTGCACATTTGGTTGACTGGAATAAGCAGATCTGAGAATTGCCCATTTTCACTTGATTTTGTCTATTGGGACAAAATCATGTGTTTAGTGAATTACCCTTATAGAGTTATTCACTAAAGTGAGAATTGCCAGGAATTCAAAGTGAATTTCCAATGTAAGGCCAAAGTTGAAAAAATCTCAAGTCAGATATTTGTTCTATGAAGTTTGGCCTTAAATTTGAAATTCACTTTAAATTCCTAACAATTCTCACTTTAGTAAAAAAACAAAACAAAACTTATAGTTTCTCTCTGATACCATGCACTGTTTTCATATTATGATTGGCTGTTTTAACAAACATCCATAAAAAAAAAAATGGAGAGAAAGTTGTTGACTTGCAGTGAATTATTGTGTCTATAAACTAACAGATTTACTTGGTTTTATTTTATACACTCCTCTGTATATCATAACTGTAACCCTCTTTTAACTTTGCTACTTTTTCACACAGGTGCTATAATTGTGGGGGTGTTGATCACCATGCCAAAGAATGCAATTTGCCACCACAACCCAAGAAGTGCCACTTATGCCAAAGTCCCAATCACATGGTGGCCCAATGCCCAGGGAAAAACGTTCAGCCCCCTGTGATGCAAGAGAAGCCTGTTCCGGAGGAGAAGGAGGGTACCCCTGCCACTGCAGAGTAATCTACACTTATTTCAGTGGGAGTGGAGCAGGCTCTGAGGCATGATTATAGAGCGAAGCAGAGCACTGCCATACTTCAACTTAACCTATGAAAAGCAAATTATATTGGCCTCATATAATCCTGGAAATGTATACTTGATATCTCTGTGCCACATAGCACAGGATCCCTGTATGTGTGACAATACTCAGTATTACCATATGATGCTACTTTACTTTTAATTAATCTTTTTTTAATGTATTGTCTGCTAATAATTTGACTTCTGGTCTAAACCACTTAAAAAATGTGTTCTTCCCATTTCCCTTACCGGATTATACATGATTGGCGCTCGGCATTACTTAATAAATAAGGCATAAAGTCTGTCATTCTGCATATAGAGGCTGCTCAATAATGGCCAACACTCATAGCCAATTTAAAAATGAAATCATATATATTTTATATTAGGCATAACAAGAGGCAAAATAACTGTCTCTCTCTCTATATATATATTCAGCCTTCATTGAATTTTGATCCTGTATGCCTGCTGAGTATAACTTTCTATACAGGAAATGCAAACAAACACACAAATAAGCAACCGCAGACACCAGTCACAATAACCTAAGGGCTTAAAATTTGATGCCCTATGCTACTAGCCAGGGCATGAAAGTGGCTCGCCACTTCAAGCCATAGCATACTCACAGGGGTGACTTCTAGACGCCATTGCTAAAATAACACTCACCAGTAGCCAGTGGAGAGTGCAAATTCTGAGCCCTTTATATATTAACCTTAATACTGGATCAGAAATGGGTGATCAACATTGTATTTTATAAATACCTACATTGATACTGCAGCAAAAATCCTTGCATTATGCTAATTGTTTTTCGATCTCTAGCCAAACACATACATGGCACATTTTTGTGTTCTAGTAAGTCTGTGCAGGTTTTGCGGTATGTAATGCTGTGAGAGTGTTTTCTTGTCTAGTCACCTGGAAACATACATCCACATACAATTGTTATACTAACATTTCATTATTTTCAGTATACTAATTTGTGTATAAGTATTCTAGAGCTATCAATTGTTTATATAATTTATTTTGCTCGTACTGTTGTGGTTCACAAGTGTTGCAAACTTGTATTTTCTCTACTTATAATTTATTTTATAGTCAGGGAAGAACTCAAGAGAAGAGTTATAATGAGCCAACATGCTCTCTGTGCCCATTGTGTTTATGAGCTACCATGCAGACAAGTAGACATAATATAAAAATATGATAGCGCACATAGACACGCTTGGACTGTTTACTACTTGTTGAAGCATCTACTTTATTAATGCAAGTGATCAAAATCTTTGGTTTTAGGAAGGTAAATATCATGTTTACTAGTGCCAGTGAAGTGTACAACTTTCACGGGATTATTCACCAAAGGTTTAGAGTGCTTGGCAATTCACAAATTGCCAAACAACTCAAAATTTCCCCAAATAAGTCGCAATTGACTTTTTATGGGGACTTTGACCAGGAGCTGAACTTGGAAAAACCAAGGTTCTTGAGTTTCAATGTCTCACACCCTTGGTTTATTCCATGAGTCAACTGTAATTCACCATTTGTGAATTTAAGATGAATAGCTATCCTGTTGATAAAGATGTATCCTGCAGGGTAGCAGTGGTTTCTGCAACCTTGTAGCATACATCTTCATATCCATTTCCCTTAAAGGGAAAGTTCGGTCACCCTACCCAAGTTGATAATTTGTTTTTAAATTACCCTCTTGGGCTCTATATGGACCAATTTGACCCTTAGTGAGTAACCCCCATTGTTATAAAATACTAGAGCCACCCTTTAATATATATATATATACATACATACACACATACACACACACACAAATATATATACATACATATATATTTATATATATATATATATATATATATGTAACAATCCTTGAATTATTGGACTATGGACTAGACTAGACTGAGCTTATTGCCACTTATGGCTAAAGGTACTGTGAAACGCCATGATTGTAAGAATTGTACAATTAGTTTGTGCTAATCTAATCTGGCAGAGTGTCCACAATGTAGTCTGAAGGGTTAGCTCTGCTTAATTTTTATGCCTCTAGTTTCTGCCTCCCATTGCCCCCAATTCATTATTTTATTGCCTTCTATATAATTTCCTGTGTGCTCTTTTTATATCAGATCTCCTCTATTTTTATATATTTTAATCTATATTTCTTCATTCACTGTCATGCATTTCTGTAAAATGCTGACATTGTATTCTTTTTTTTCTTAATACGGTAATTTGTTTTGTGTTTTTTCATAACACCCCATTTGCTGTTCTTCATTACCTACTTTGTGATAGAAAATCAGATATTCACAGGGTTATCAGATCGCCACGATAATAATGTTATGCCTGCCATGTTTTCAAACTTGGAATGCGGCCACACTGTCCATGTTAGGTAAAGTTGTAAAAATAAAATTAAGGCTACTGTTACCATGGCATTAAGAATCATCGTTACAAAGGTAACAATAAACATCCATTATTTTGTCGAATGCAATGGATTAACTCTGCACACTTTTTATCTGAGAATATAAACAGCAGTTACATCATTATACAAAACACATACATTTAAGAATAATGTACAAATTTCTTGTGATAGTGTAAAATTGGATGCAAATATGAATGTACTTTTTATGTAAATCTTAGTTTTTTTCTCCAAGTCAAGAAACTGCTTATTGTCCTCTGTTGGCCACTGTATTGTTTACATGGACTGTGAAGGTTCAAAGGATGACTGATAATCCACTGTAAATATGGTTGGGCTATCAATATTCCACATTTGTAAATGTATGTTAGATGTAAGGAAAGCTATACAAATTTGTGAGCAATCTAAAAGTTTATAAACACACAAGAAGGTATCCATATCAAAAGGCCTTACACTAAGAATTGTGGTCCATCATTATGCATCATAATTTGTCATCTGTTTTTAATTAGCTTCTCCCCACAACTTTGATTCATTTTGAATGCCTGTGAAAAGCATGCATATTAAATACTACACCTCAATACAGTGAGTATGATGTAAAGAGTCTATGGGGAAGATATTTTGTAAATTTTGTCAAATCATTTGGGAGTGGTGTGACAGAATCAGGGCTGCCCACAGCACCCAGAGACAGCCCACAATTCAGCTGCCTTCATAATCCAGAATTTATGATAGATGGAGATAACTGGACTCTTTGCTCCATAACCACTAAACTGAGCAGTTAATAAGGTTTCTAACTTATACCATTTAGGAAGTAATTCCCATCAGCTTCTAGTTTATGGATTCACAAAGTCATTGTGCATGTTGTTCGACAACTATGTTTGCTGTTTTTTTTCTTTAAAAGAAGACATGCTGTCCATGTAATTGCTTACTTACAATTAGCACTGGTTGTATGTTTTGCTTTAAAAAAAAAAAAAATGTAACATACAGAATAGGTCTCAAATGGCAAATAATAAGCATGTTAATCCAATTTGAGTGTGAAACTGTATGGAATTTCTTGGTACTGAAATGGTTAATTGTGCTTTTTTGCTAAGGGCATGGTGTATGATATATAAGTGGTTTTGTTGTTTTTTTTTTTTAATTTGGTATTCCTGATGTGTGCTTGACATATATAGACATGTTTAATCAATTCAGATGGGCGCAAAACCACACAGTGTTAGTCTGGATTGGGTGTGGGCGGGGAATATTCACTGTACAAAGTAAGAAATCTACCTCAGGGATGAGCAGCCTGTATTTTCATACAGACTGTGTAAAAATCCAGCTAATTCTGAGCTCAGGGATAGTGCCCATTCTGGATTGATGCAGTTATACCTATTGTTTGCCAATAAAGTCTTATTCAAATAAACTGGATCTTGTGGTGGTGAATCTTGTATTCATTTGTATATTCATGTTGAAAGTAGGTTTTTGTATGCAGGTCTGGGTATTACATGTTTACATTAAATAATTTTTGCGGTGTGTAAAAATGACGCAATAATACAAAACCATGAAGCTGTAAGAATAACCACAAATAAAGGCAGAATAGGTATTGCTATTACACAAGAAGACTATAAATACTACTACACAAGAAGACTATAAATACTACTAAATACTGTAAATACTAAACTTGGCTGTTCCTAAACTGACACTAACTGACACTAACTAACGCAAGTATAGTTAGCCCTTATTAAAGAGAGGATTGCTGTAATCCTCCAGATATCCTTTCTAGCATGACATTGAAGCAGTATTGTTACTAAACTGGAAGACATTACATCCCACTCTATCTTTTGCATTTCTCACTAAAAGTATATAATAGGAAAAAAACTTTAAAATACATCATTGACATAGAAACACAACATTGTCCAAGTGACATTATTCTAGCAATGAGGAATCCATCTGTTGGTGTATTGTGGTTGAAGGTGAAATAATGACACAAAGAAAAGCTTAAGGCAAACTATTGGAAGCAACTGGTTTATAGAATAGAAACAACACGTTTATACAATAACATTTATTTTTAGAAGCAAAACCCTTGGACGGGGGTGTCAAACTGATTTGTTATGGAGTGCTTGATTCTAAAAAAAAGTTGAAATGGAGTGCCAAATGTATACAACTTATAAACAAACCATTTCATGTAATGTGGTAATGTGGTGGAATCTCGGTAAAAATAAATTTAGTAGGCCGAGATTACCACGTGGCATGTGTACGTGCATATGCTGACGTATCGATCAGTTGGTTGCACGAGGCAAGATACGATCAGTAGTGTACGGAGCATGTGCAAGAATACAGGATGTAGTATTCCCCTCCTCCATTGTGCTGGACAAGCCATGCGGTCAAGCAGGAAGTTAATTCTTATTTGTAATGATTGGTCAAGAGAATGTGCGGGTGGAGCTTAATATGGGAGGAGTTATGTGCCTATATAGGGAGCCTGCACTATTGTTCAGGGCTCAGAACTTGCTGTATTTTTGGTGACATTAGTCCCTCTGAGTCCCGATCGGTGATCCAATAAAGAATCTCTTCCTTCCTGAAG